TTGTTGAGTCATGCTGTTTCTCCATTCCCATGAGGGCCGTTTCCTTCCACAGCCCCTAGACCTGGTGTACTTAGAACAGGCTTCCCTCAGCTGAAGACCTCTTTCCTCTCCAGCCTTAAACTTTACCAAGATGCCCTACTTCACAAGGGGAGGGGCCGGCAAGATGGTTTAGTGAGTGATGGTGATTACAGTCCTGTGGTGCAGTCATGACAACCTGAGATCCACCTCTGAGGTGGAAGGAGAGAATCAAGTCCCGGAAAGTGATCTTCTGGTCTTCATATAAACACATGGATTTATACACACACACACACACACACACACACACACACACACTAATAATAATATTTAAACAAATGAATAAAGTAAGTAAATAAAATACCAAAGCAAATTTTAAAACCTCACATGGCACCATTGATTGGCTTGGATTCTTCATTAATGAGAAATAAATGATCATCTTACTTAAGCCCTTATCTATCTAATTTACCTGTCTGCTGTGTAGCTGCCTATGATTAAACTGTGCTCCTAATCACCTCTACTCCCTCCTCACAGCACAAATCACATTCTAATAGTCTGTGTTTGAAGGCGCAGGACAAGCAGTAGGTGTGCACCACGAGAACAGCAGCAGCAGGGGGAATCACCCCGGCCCCGGGGCTACAGGAGTTATCTCAGCACAGAAGACCTGGCTTCCGGAACCTAGGGAAGCTGGGCTCTACTTACTGTCTCACCGTGCCAATTACTGAGATGAGTAACAGTGAAAAAGCAGAGAAAGGAGACTGATGTAGCATGGCCAAACTGGGAGAAAGGAACAAACAAAGGGGTCCACGGCCCCAGCATTGAGATGAGGTTTAAACAGAGGGCAAGAGGTATGCATAACTAAACAGTCCTATCCTGGAGGAGCCCCGCCCTGCCCCGCCCCGCCCGGCACAGACCCATCAGTATTTCAGATCATATGAGAAACTGTTTCTGTTCATTACTTGAGGTACAGCCTCAAGCTCATGGAAACTTGTCTTCTTCTGGGGTATAGGCCTCTCCTGTGAGATTTTGCTCTTCTTGGAGTTCAAGGTGACAAAGGTTAAGAACAATAACGTACCTCCATGCCTTCAGCCCAAATGCAGTCATAAACTAAGGGCAGAGACGGCAGGCTCTCATCCTGTTGTAGCTGTCCTGGGTGCCCAACTGAGGCATGGATGCTTTTTAGCAAAAGCAACTTCTAAGTATCTGTATCAGTCCCCTTCTTCTGTCTAAACCACCCTCAGTTCAGAGGGTGCTAGGGTGTTGTTGGCTGGTCTGGCTTTGAAAGTCTCCTGGCCTAGTGATAAACTAATACAAGACAAGGTGACAAGCTGTGTTAGCTAAAGTGTGCCAGTGTAAAACAAGGGCAGATACTTAAGTATATAGCACCACTATGAAGCAGGTTATAAGAAGGAAAAGTCGAAGGACACCTATTAAATAGAGTTTATAGAGGGTCATTATCCCTCCATACATGCTCTGTGCATGCATAGCTCATGCATCATAGCTCCGAGTATGCACACCACTAGACTATCTTGGACGCACTTCCAAGCAGCCATACATAAGAAAAATTTACCTATAACCTCTTGAGTTTAGTTACTTTTGGAAGGGCTGACCCAAGTGACTCCATTTTTGTTGTTGGCAATGAGACAATGTCTCCTTATGAAGCCCAGGTATACAACAGAGAAAAACTAGTTTGAAAACAAGTGCACGTTACAGTCATGTCTTATGATTGGACTGCATATTCTTTAGATAATGACCCTAAGAGAATAACAAAAACCTTTGAGAAGCCATGGTTAGAATTTTACAGAAAGCTGAGTGATGGACGAAACGGTGCGGTTCCCTTTTTTCTTGATGATGGTCATGGCACAGTTAGGAACTCATAAAGACAAGTGGAGGAGAGCTTAGCATCACTGGTGATTTCTGACTGGAGGATGCCAGTTTGGTAAAGGGTTACATGGCACTTAATCCAGTCAACTTGACAGGATCTAGAATTACTCGGGAGGCAATTCTGTGAGGGTGGTTCTAGACAGGGCTAGTTGAAGTGGGAAGATCTACCCTATCTGTAGGCACTACCGGTCCGTGAGCAATGGCCCAGACTGAGTGTAAAGGAAAGCAAGATGGGTGCCAGCTTTCATCTCCCGCTGCTTCCTGGCTGTTGGTTTACACACGTGACCTCTGCCTTGGGCTCGGACTCCTGCGGCCATGGTTTCCCCCGCTCCACCATGATGGAATCTCCCAGACTGAGCCAAAATGAACCCTTTCTGAAAGGGGTTTTGTCAACTGTTTTTCACAGCAAGGACGAAAGATAATTAAGAAAGTGTTCCCTTAACTTTTCTAGTTTTGAAGATTTACGTACTTGAGGAACATGAATATTTTCAATATATAAACGAGTCCACAATATTAGCAACACGACAGAAGCCCCTCACCCCCACCACACACACACAATCTCACCCTAAATGAAAGCTTAAATAAACCTTGATTTTGTGAAAAGACTGATAATATGAACATGAAACAAAACATTAAGCTCGTATCTTCTAAAAATTAGCCCTATACTGGGCCAAATCTAGTTAGTAAATCTAGTTTTTTTAAATTTCTTTAAATATAAAGCATTTGAAAAACACTATTAGCATTTTGGTTATAGTCAACTAAATTGTACAAAAGAAATTAAGGTTTTTTGTAAGGTTTTGTTTTCATGAACCTCAGTTTCTAGAATTAACATTAAAAGGCAGTGGTTTCTAGCCATTCCACCTGGAGGTTAAAAATAAGCATTTATATTTTAGTTAGGCCTGGCTTAGAAATGTCTTTGCATAGCCAGTTTTTCAAGGTACAGCAGAAAAAAAAATGTAGACAAGAAACAAACCCTGGTCCAAGTCCAGAAAGATCACAATTTAAATAAGGCATTTCAAGAATTAAAAAGTTAGCATAAATGAATCTTTAAACATGCAAAAATTTGAAGTGACTACAGGTACATCAGTCAGAAAATTTTAGGAATTCTGATCTGAGGTCAGATGAGTTTAGGTTCTGATCTCATCCTGTTGACAGAAGTAAGAATGAATGCTTGGCAGTTTGTTCTGTGTCAATAATGTGAGTCTCTTGGTGGGGATTCCTCCCCCGGGTGTCACAAGTAAGTCTGTGTGTCCTCTTACTTGTGTTGGGAAGTTCCACCGTCAAGGGGTGCAGGTAGGTCATGTTGAGGGATGGCCAACCCTGATGTGTACCTTCTGGGTGATTGGAGGAGGAGGACCTGCTTGTTCGTCCCTGTTGCCTGGCTAGCCCCGAAATAACCACACAGAAACTATTAATTAAATCACTGCTTGACCCACTAGCTCTAGCTTCTTACTGGCTAAGTCTTACATCTTAAGTTAACCCATTTCTATTAATCTGTGTATTGCCACGTGACAGTGGCCTACCGGCAAAGCACGTCTATTTCCATTGGCAGCTCCATGGCATCTCACTGACTCTGCCTCCTTTCTCCCACCATTCAGTTCTGTCTTCCCTGCCTCCCTAAGTTCTGCCCTATCAACAGGCAAAGCAGTTACTTTATTCTTTAATCAAGAAAAGAAACACAGAGACAGGAGGACCTCCCACACCAGGTGAGAGTGGGCATTCCTTCCAACCCAGGAGTGAGATAAGCTCTCTTTACGCACTTCCCTGTGACAGTGCTCCATTTGTTAATGCCTGATGATCTATAACCAAGTGGAGTAGACCATGGTGAGCATTTTCTCTTCTCTTCAGAACCCAGGCCGGGGGCCTCCATGTAGGTCGTATTGAAGTCATGTCTTTCTAGTGCAACTATTGCTACCATCATAAGGTTTCTTTTTCAATCTCTACCACACCAGTCACAAAGGCAGACAAAAATGATGCATAAGAACAATTAAACAGACGCAGAGTGCACCTTAGATAAATCATCATGCATTTATAAAGACTAGCCAGCTGGAGTTCTCCCCAGCAGGCCCTGAGATGCGCAGTTACTCTCTCTCTGGACTCCTTCAGCTCCCTGGTTCTTGCAACCCCATCGGAAGACTCAGCTGTGACACACGCTGCACAGTGTCGAAGATAGGTCAGCGTAGCTAATTATCTGTCCTTTCCCGGCTGGGTACCCACACAACATTGCAGAGTTCAATTTACAGTTTATTCAGAGTGGAGGAAGGTATTCTCGAGGGGCAAGAGTGGACAAAAAACACTTTGGGTCAGTTTTATGCAGTCTCTAAAACCTCTAGAAAAGCAGCCTCTCCTAAGCGGCAACTTCCTACACAGGCAATGGCCAGGTCTATGTGACTGACTTTTATGGGAAGGGACAATGCAATGCCTTTGTTCTTTCCCACACCAAACCTCTGGTATAGTGATTTAATAAAATTTAAATAGCTTTGGTGGTTGGTTTTAGCTGTCAGTTCAATTGTCAGTAAGGAATTGTACAGATTAAGTTGCCCTGTGGGTGTGTCTGTCTTGATTACCTGATGCGGGAAGACCCACTGGAAAAATGGGTGGCATCATTCCCTGGGTTTGGGTCCTAGCCTATTTAAAAAGAAAAGTGAGTTGAATCTTACACATCCATGTGTCCAGTCTATCCCTGACTGTGGATGTGACAGGTTGCCTTGAGTTCCTGCCTTGACTTCTCCACAATGGTGGACTGTAACTTGACATTGTGAGACAAAATAAACCTTTCCCCCCACAAGTAGCGTTTGCTAGGGTGTTTTATACCAGGAAAAGGAAACAAAACTGGGCCAAAAGTTATCTATTAATGACCTGACCTTCTAGGCAGCTTGGAATGTCATTCTCTACCTTGGATCAGGGACAGGAATTAGATTCCGTTCTTCTGAATAATAATCCAAGTCCTGCCATGCCAGTTCCTGTTTTCACCAGCCGTTAATTATAAAAGAATGGTCCATCCACGATGACCTTCAAGCCTGCTTCTTAGCGTTTGTGAGCTACACAAATTGTCCTTTTGTGTGCTTCATATACCTTCCCCACTAGTTATCCACACAAAATTTCAGAAGTCAAGAGTTTCTTGTTATACTGGCAACTTCCTAAATAATCCAATAGGACATCAAAATTGTACAAAGGAAATCCTGAAGACAAGGGCTTTCACACCAAAGGCGTTTGCCCAAATGATTACATAGAGCTCTAATAGCTCAGAAGAGCTCCCAAAGGCAAGGACCTCTGCTTCTCCATCAGGCAGGGTTTAGAAATCCAAGTTAACCTAAAGAAAACACAAGCAGCTTAAAGGACCCCCCACCAACTGATAACAAAGAGAAGAAAGGCAAGACTTGGGGTCCACTGAGCAGAGGTTCAGGGAAACTTACCAAGGTTCAAACATCAGGAACTGCAGAGCCCCAAAGCATACTTCTTTGCTTTTTCCAGTACTAGTAGAGAGAAGCCAGTACTGGCCAAAGTGGAAAACAGAAAAACATCCCTGAAATAAAAGCGCCCCAAGAAGCTGTGTGGAACTGTCCAGTCCTTCCTCTCCATCTAAAGCTGACCTGTTGCAAGTTGTTGGCACTGAAGGCACCTTTTCTTCTGGCTGTGTAACTGTGTTTCTGGAGCTTGTTAGCATAAATCTCTGGGCTCCAGCAGCTCCGGCATTTGACTCCACATTCCAGTAAGTCAGCTAAAGAGATGAGTGATGATGAAAAGTCAGAAGAATTATGCAGTGTGTCCATATTGGGGCAAAAACTAAATGAGGGGGTTCCACTGACACCCCCCATTTCATTTCTCTAGTATTGATACAGATTTAGTTTTAGGGCTAGGAGAGACAGTTCCATGGTACCCCTCTTGTGGAAGATCTGAGTTCAGTTCCCAGCACTCACTGGGGTGGCTCACAACGCTGGTAACTCCAGTTCCAGCGAATCCAATGCTTTCACAGGTACCTATATCACATGTACCTGTATGGACATGTACATATCCACACAGAGATATACATACACAAATGCACATATACACAAATGAATATAACATAAACCTTGAAAGAGAGAGATTTAGGTTTAAATAAATATATACATATAATCAAGTAGTACTGATCAAAGTGTAGTCCTGCCTAACACTACCTACTGGCTCCAGTCCTGAGCACTCATCCACCCTACAAGATGCACGGCTAAATTGTCCATCTGTTAATTACGAGGCAGCCTCACCTTCATGGATAATTGTCCTCAACTGGGTCAGGGGCTGGTTTGTCCTGTAAGGTTTTAATCTTTTCCAAATTAAACAAAACTAAAGAGGAAAAGTTAAGGACTTGTCTTCACCTTCATCCAACGTACAGACATAAAATGAAAGCAGACATGTCAGGCGTTCACCCTGCTTTTACGACCTCATGGGCCCAAGAGGAGTCTGCGAGTTTGGGTTTTGTTTTGTTTTTAGATCCTTAAGAATTTTGTACAATGAGTTCCCTCCCTTAACTCTTTCCAGAATCGACACTCCCAACCCCCACTTCCCTCCCCACCCAGTTTTGGATCTGCATCCCTCTATCAAGGCCAATTTGTGCTGCCCAGATATTCTGTGGTGTGCGGCCTTTCACCGGAGTGCGGTTTTTAGCAAAAGCAACTTCTCACACACCTTCTCACAGAGATTGCTATCTGTTTGGAAACAGCCCCCCCACCACCGCCAAAAAGAACCTGTGGGGGTTCTGTAGAATTCTGCCTAGAAGCACCATCTACCTCTCTAAACCCTTTCCGCTGGCTATGGTTTGTTTAATGGCTACTTCCCATTCCAAGGGCTCCTGGGAAGTGTAGTCTGGCTATGGACCTGAAAAGAGCTAGCCATGTTCTACCATAGTCATCAGGTGATGGGAAAATGTGCAAATGTGTGTGCGGAGTGGGAAGAGACAAAAACCTGTTTGGTGATAACCGAAGACAGAGAGGTGGGGAGGAAATAGCAGATGTGGCTGGGAACCAGACTGCAGTACTAGATACCTCCCTGGGAGAGCTTACTCTGACAGGCTATGTGTAATTGACACATAATTTATTTGCAATGAAATTAGGGTGTCTGCACTGTGGGAGAAAAGGTGGGACATTCATGTTCACCTATATTACTACTGACCTCCTTTCCTAACAGGCTTGGTGACTGTCACATCAAGTCTCGGGGTTCCAAAAGAATGGCCCCGGAGTTGAGAGCGCCCCCGGAGAGTCTGTGCAGAGAGAGAATGTAGGATGTCACCTGGCAGCAGGGCGGGAGGATTGTCTTGCAAGAAGAGGCGTCACACGGCTCTGACTCACAAGTACACTGTGACTATTTCCTGGCTTTTGCTTGTCTTTTGTAGAAGGCTGTAACATTCCTGCAGGAAAAGCAGAGACAGAATTTTCCTTCCCTGGGTTCAGGCCCTGTTTGTAAATAAACCTCTCCGTCTTTACCAGTTGTTGTCTCTTGGTTTGCCTTTGATACAGCAGCAGGCTACAGGCCTCCCAACCTCCGAAGTCTGGATCACGTCGAGCCTTTTCTGTGTAAACTATGTGTCCTGTGCTTTCAAGAATTTGGTAAGGAAAACGCTATCTTCATTCTCTTTTAAGTTGGAGAAAAATGGGACTTTGAGGAGTTTAAACACCAATCCAAGGTCAGCACTTCTTTGTTTATTTAATTTTTACTATTTTCCTATTTTATTATTATTGTTCTCTCTATCTCCCTCCCTCCCTCCTTGCCTCCCACCTCTCCCTCTCTCTCTTTCTTTATTTCTCCCCACCCCCAGACAAGATCTCACTATTCAGCTCCGGTTAGCCTGGAACTTACTATAAAGACCAGCATGTCTCAAACTAAAAAAGACTCTTACTTGCCTCTGCTTCCTGACAAAGGCATGGATCAGTAGACCCAGTCCTTTATTCTTCTATTTTAAAATAGGAACTATACTGCCCAGGCTGTTTTGCAATCTTCACACACACACTCCTCCCTGCCCCAACCCTACCTATTAATAAATACTCTTGTTGACTACACGAAGAAGCCATGCCTCAGGGCTGTTTAGACTTATTATGACGATTGGCATGTTGCAAGGAGGGAGGAGGGAAGAAGAAAGACTTCCCAAAGTCACAATACAGTCTTCTGGTGGCAGCATCTGGTCTTCCCATGAGTCTTCTTTTATCTGACCTCTCTGAGCCCAGAATGAACCAGCTGAGGATCGTAGGGCTCTTCTCCCAGCTCCATCCCGACCTTCTGTACGTGAGCTGCACATTAAAGCAGGGGCCATGAGCCAAGTTGACTACTCCAATAGGCACAGTGCTTGAGGCTTGCAGCAAGATTTTAATTAAAATCAGAAGGAAAAAAAACAAGCTTTGGATGAAGAAATATAGCTCAATGTATAAAGTTATTTACACATATGCTATCATAAAATATAATTTAAATGGCGTAAATCATTAATGGCCATTCCATGAAGTCAGAGTGAGGTTGAGTTACTCAGAGTGAAGGGGACAAAAAACGATGTTATGTGTTTGTGCATGCACGCATGTATGTGCATGTTCAGGCAGAGACTGGGGACCCAAGACTTTGCCCTCAGCTCTCTGGCTCTCAGACTAAAGGTATTACTTAGAGTGACTGGTTGAAGGCACCCATCTTGCTGTTCTCCACGAACCTGGGAATCCTGTTCCCAGGAGCCTAGCTAGCACCATGCCCAGATGTGCATTGCAGATGTTTGCCCCTTCCTTGTTGGTTGTGCCCACAGTCCTGAGATCCTACCTATGTGGGAGCTGGGCACAGGGTAGCAGGACTAATCCTTGAAACAGCTCCAGGAGGATTAGCTGAGCTTCGTGAAGCACAGAGGCAGAGGCAGCATCAACATGGCTGAGCTTCTTCCCAGTGAGAACAATCTGGATGGCTTCTGGGAAGGGCTGCTTGGAGCCCTAAGGGGTGGGGCTAAATGTCGGAGGTGGGGTTATGTAAATCAAGCCAATTCTAGCCAGAGAGCTGAAGCTTGAAAGAAAAATACCAACCTGAAGGAAGGAATTTAAATTATGAAAATTCTGAGGTGTGAAATGTGCATTGATGCCTTAAGGCTCTTATTTAGCAACCAGATTGTTCCGGCAGAGTGAGTCACTTGTGAAAAGTGGGCCCCCACAGGCTCCCGCACTATCTCACTCACTCATCAAAGGTTTCATTGTGTTTCTCAGTGGTTAATGTAGTGCCTGCCTTGTATGTTAAGGGGACCTTGAAAGGACCTCTATGCTCAGGACTGGTGAAAACACTCCTCTGAGGTTCTGAGGTGTTAGTATGTGAGGGGGATTGGGATTTTCCCCAATCCTAGCAATTTGGGTTTCTTAGTCATGAATAGTCAATAGGATATTTCCTTTCTTTGTGTACAGGTGTTTATGCTGTCCAAGTGGAAGATGGTCTAGACAGGAGGATCACAAAGCCAAAAGGTCTATTCACTATAGCCACTTGTCACATTTGGGGGTTGAACATTGTGACTAAGTATCTGAACTGTCCTTTTAATTTTAATTAATTCTAAAATAAAAAATTAAAACTGATACTCCACTGCGTTATTGGGAAATTTTAAGTGTATATAAAACAATTTAGATTTGTTAGTCTATATTTCAAATGTAATTCATTTGCAGTTCAAATACAGACCATCTATTTCCAATAAAAGCTTAACATATACATTAAGATGTGCTACACTTGTAAAACAGACCAAAACTTCCTAGGATTTAATATAAGAAACATTTTCAAGTGCCTCATTAATGTTTTCATATGATCATGTTTTGGAATGATGATGTTAGGGCTGTATTGGGTTAAATTATTAAACTTAATTTCACTTAAATTGTGATGTAACTCTTAGAAATTTTAATTATACCTGTTGCTCATATCATCTTTATATTGGGCAACACTTCTTTAGCCATAGAGAGAGACACAAATCCTGTCAGAAATGGGAGAAAAGAATTAATAATGCAGGGCGAGGATCTTGGCTTGAGAGGGTGAGGGCACAGGGACCATGCGAGCAGAACAAAGTTAACACTCTTACATGGAACAAAACACGACCTGTTAGCTTATGTGGATGGCTCTGAGGCCTGTTTGCATAAACTAACTACTGCCATGGTAGGCGTTTTTCCCCAGGTTCCCAGTATTAATACCACACTCTACTCACAGGGCTCAATAAATATTTTGTCAAAGAGTACTAGTTGCTTTCTTATAACTGCCACAGAATACCTGACATTAAGCAACTTAAGGGGAGGAAGTTTATTTTGGTTTATTGTTCGGGGATATGGTTCATCCTGGCAAGGTGAGCGTGGCGGCAGGCATGTGAAGCAGTTGGTCACCTCACACCTGAAAGACCCCCGAAGGATGTCTTCCTAGCGAGAGAGGCCCCAAACC